CCAGAGACAGCCAGAGACAGACAGAGACAGACAGAGACAGACAGCCAGCCACGCAGCAGGCGGGCAGGCAGACAGAGAGTCGTTGTTGTTGCTGTTGTTGTTGTTGTTGTTGTTGTTGTTGCTGTTACTGTTGCTGTTGCTGTTGCTGTTGCTGTTGCTGTTGCTGTAGCTGTAGCTGTTGTTGTTGTTGGTGGTGGTGGTGGTGGTGGTGGCGGTGGTGGTGGTGGTGGCGGAGGTAGGGGTGGGGGTGGGGGTGGTGCTGCTGCTGCTGCTGCTGCTGCTGCCGCCGCCTCTGCTGCTGATGTTGGTATTGGCATTGGCACTGTTATTGTTACTTAGTGTGATGATCATAATACTTTTCTGTCGATTATGAATCATATGGTTGAAGTGTAGTGTTGTTGTTGCTGTTGCTGATGCTGTTGCTGCTGCTTCTTTGTCGTCGTCGTGCTCGTTGTCCTCGTTGTCGTCGTCCTCCTCCTCCTCCTCCTCATCCCCCTCCCCCTCCTCCTCGTGCTCGTTGATGTCGTCGTTGTTTCTGTCGCAGGTCTTTCTTGGTGAATTACATTGCCGTCATTACTCCCGTTCCCTTTCTTTCGAGGTTCCTTCGGGTGAGAAGCGCGGCGCGTCAAATGATGTTGCCGATGGCAAGAAAAAGACATGAAGACATGCACTTGCCCGAATGTTAGAGGGCGCAGGGCGCGGAACAGCCGTAGGTAAGAGTTTTACTGATTTTCGTAGTCAAGCAACTGTGGGGGTTAGTAGATGGTGATAGTCGTTGTACGCGTTGTCGGTGTAGTAGTGGTTGGTTATGGTGGTGGTAATGGTCCAGGAGGCGGAGGGGCACGTGGTGGTGGAGGTGGAGGAGGGAGCAGCGCGCAGCAGCAGCAAGAAAGAACATGTTCCCTAGCAGCTTTGGTTGGGTTTTTTGGGTGTGAGCAAGTTACAACCTTTCAGCATCGTTGGTATGAAGCTGAAGAGTAGTCAGTTGAATCTGCCTCTAGAGACTTGGGCCTGAGGACTGAGAAATCAGGTCACGGACTGCAGCCTCAGCAAGTACGAAGTAAATTGTAAAGGCTTTTAGGTTGAAGAGTTCATGGAGCTGGGCCGTAGTCCAGAGATATCAGGTTACGATGATGCTACTGACCATGACAAACCCGAGGCATGTGCACAACGCAAGTTTTGTAAGCAGGGCTAGAAGCAAGAAAATCTCAAGCTGTCGCTGTCCCAATTTCGTGAACTCGAGCCCGCTATGTTAGTCCCGGAGTTGAGCTGTGTACTTCAAAAACAGGCCGAAGTCCTTTAACCTTAAGCCCGAAGCCGTAATTGTCGCAAGGACGTGGGTTCCTCAACTACCGGAGACTGTGCGAACATGAAGACACCTGAAACCAGTCCATGAAGTGGTCATGTACCAGCTAGCTGCGCTAGAATCCGCTAGAACAGCGAGACTCTCCACACACGGAAGATGCGATTGACACAAATTTTGTCTTGGGGGCTTAGAGCTTCGGGCTTATGAAGTCAAAGACAGCACTGCCCCACTGAGGGTCGGTGCCTTGCGACATGCCATAGGCCCCACGCAAAGCAGATGTTTAACAGAGGTTTGTTGCTGCTGCATTGGCAGTTTCTTCGGATGCGCTCAGCCACCCGCCGCAACGTTTCGAGATCTCTGAAGCCGGCCGTAGACGAAGATTGGGTAAGAGAAGTCACACCAGCAGTATTTCGTTCGAGCTCTCTTCCGCAGCATCCCGAACTCTAGCCTTCGATTTGTGCGAACCTAGTCCCCGACATCATCGGTGGATGTCCTTGCATACAACAAGGCTAATCAAGTCGCCGTCCTCCACGGTGGGAGTCCGTGAAGCTCAGAGCTGCACATTTCATAAACAATAAGACCTTGAGACCCTATTTTCATACAGTGGGATATACTTTGTACCCCAAGCTCTAAAACCCTAATCCTAAATCCCCAAGTCTTGCAAACCTACATTTTGGTAACCTAGGGTGATTGCTGATGCGCTTGTGGCCCCTCTCGCTGCTAACCCTTCGGACTGCCGCCAACGCAAGTGCTTCGTTGTGCAAAGATTCTTTAGGTTGATAAAGTCTTGGGGTTTAATTAGCTTTTTCGGGTAGACTAAAGTGTCTAGACAGCAATGTATTGCGGGTTGGTTTCACGTTCTGTGCCTTTTGCGAAGCTTCTGCTTCGCAGCGCTATTGAGCGCTTGAGGGCTTGAGATGCAGGTTCACAGTTTAGGGTGCGGGGTCTTGCATGCTCCAGACTCTTGCCGCTTGCTTGAAGACCTTCCCCGAATAAAAGCCTTCTGCTTCGTAGGAAGTGAGTCTGATTTTTAAGTTTACGAGCTGTGTTTCACAGATTCCTCAACCCCAAAACCCTAAACCCGAAACCCTAAACCCCTAAACCCTAAACCCTAAACCCCTAAACCTCTAAGCCCTAAACCCCTAAAGCCCCTAAACCCTAAAACACATTCCTGAATTGATGGGTTTGGGAGATCTTGGGCTCTTGCCAATGAGGCATGCGCTGGGAGTTGGCGACTTGCGCCGTAGGAAGCCGAAATCCCCTGACAGCCCCCGGAAAGAGGGTTTAGGGTTCAGCGGTTAGGGTTTAGGGTCTGTTAGGGTTTAGGGGTTAGGGCTTAAGGTTTATTACGATTTAGGGTTTATAAAACCCTAAACCCTGAACCCTAAACCCTAAACCGTTATAGTATTTCTGAGCTGTTAGAGGGGTCTCAAATCTGCCTGGGACCCGATGCCCTACAAACCCCGAAGCTTGGGATTTAGGGTTTGGGGTTTGGGGTTTAGGGGTTTAGGGTTTAGGGTTTCACGTCTTCGGCCTTTTTCAACGAACGGCCCGCGATGCCTGGCAACCAGGGAATGCGACATTACGATGTACTATACTATGCAACGGAATAGTATTTTGTACTACAGTATACATGGTATACGCTTATACTCTAGAAGTGTTCGATAGTAGGTTGATATTTCAATACCTCGCACTGTAAAATGTTCTAAAGTACAGCACACTATACTCTAGTATCATCAACGTCAACACCTTTAGCCGAGGCTCTGACTTGGTTAGATCACCCTTGCATGAGCTCCAAGCACACCCTTGAGGGTTTGGGGTTTAGAGTTTAGGGCCAGTTTAGGGTTTAGAGTTTAGGGTCTAGAGTTTAGGGTTTAGAATTTAGGGTTTAGAGTTTTGGGTTTCGAGTTTTGGGTTTAGAGTTTAGGGTTTGGGGTAAAGGGTAGACCCTGCTACAAGGTTCGTTTCCTTCGTTGCCCCAGAGAGCATACGAGCTGCACTGGCCGGTGCTATGGGAGGACCGAAGCCAGCAACAGCAGCAATGACACGGGTATAGAATATATACTGGAGATGAGAATGATAATGGTAGCACAACACAGACATATTCAGAGCGGTATTCAAAGCAGCAAGAGTAGTAACAATAGTATCAGCAAAAGAAGAGATACTGCATAATACTAGCGCAAGCCCGCAAGCGATAACGAGCGCACTAGGTATAGCAAAAGCACTTGTGTGTGTGTGCGTTGCTATGACTACTTCTGACATTATCGAACTAGCTTTCTTAGAACTGCGTCCCTGTTTTGCCACTGTGAGCTTCGGCCAGCACAAACAGCCACTTGCTTGTTATTTGTGGCCTGGTTGGACTTGAGGTTCATGGAGTCAAACTCCAAAAGGTGGAGCGCCATAGTTGAAGAGTTCAGATTTGGACAAGACGGCCCAGAAGGAGAATGAAGGAGAGCCCAAATTGAAATATGTTTTCCTCTACTCCCAAATTGAAACATGTTTCCTCTACTCCGCAATGTTCTATGACGGAATGGGATCAGCGCAGTCTCTGAATTGAGGTGGGATGGCAAGTACCTCCTCTCAGAGACTATAACTTACCCTGCCTCAGCTGTAAACCTAAACCCTAAACCCTAAACCCTAAACCCCTAAACCCTAAACCCTAAACACTTCTCCTTGAAGTTTTCGGACATGGCTCACTGTTCCGTGGTTCCTTTCAGCCACAGAAGCAGCGTGAGCTCTTGAGAAGAAGACCCACTGTTTCGGGCTTTAGGGTACCAGTTTAGGGGTTTAGGGTTTAGGGTTTAGGGTTTAGGGTTTAGGGTTTAGGGTTGCCAGGGCCCAAACACGTGCTTCAGCTGTCAGGGTGGCGTGCGCCGCCCCGTGCCTCGAGGCTGCGACGGGAAGGAGCTGACGAAGGCCAGAGGTCCTGCAGAGCCCTGGGTATCCAGGGCCTACCGTAGCAATGTGTAGACTTTGTGAAATCGCAGGCAGAGAACAGGCTTTCTGATGGTAATGATGATCATGGTCGTCACCAATCATTACCGTCAGGGCCACCACCATCATTGACCATCACCATCGCCATAGCAATGCCGAGACGAGTCGTAACACCCAAAATGACGACCACCATGAATGCTTGGCGAGTATGCAAGGCTAGTATTTATAGTACGAATCTTCCACACCAGCTGCCATATTGTTTTTCTGCAGAAACTCAGACGCTGAATTTTGGGATGTCACAAGCATTCCGCGTGCAAGCAGCCGAAACGCAGGATCGATCGTGGAGTTTAGGACCCAAAGGAAAGAATTCCTTGTTTTCACAAGCCCCCGACGTTCCGCAGGCGTTGGATGTTCTCAACCACAGCTTCGAAGATGTGGAGCTGCACCTGTCGTCAGGCCAGTCCTTACGAGAAGGATCCGACTTGAATACGATTTTGGGGTTCGAAACTCGGGCGCCTTTTAAACTCCCTACCGTTCTAAACTAGGGTCCCTTATTCTCTGCGATTCCCTACTGTTCAAGTGTGTAAACTAAGATCCCTGGTACGCTGGACCTCCGTAAATCTAGGGCGCAGCATCGCAGCGCCCCAGCTGTGGCTCTTTATCACAGTGGCTGGTCATACCCGGGTTTAGGGTTTAGGATTTGGGGACCGGGTTGCCCAAAACTGCGGGTAAGGCCAGCAGTCAGGGGCATGAGCTCGAAACCCTACACTCTGCCTAGACTTGGAACTCGAAGCTATCAAGTTCGTTGTGCCCTTTGCTGTTAGACTTTGGACTGGTTTCCCGTGGCATCAGTCTCGCTGCTGCCATTGTTGCTGGTGTGCCTATGATTTCTTTGCTGCTGTGTTCTTTCACTATGATCGATCTCATCATCATAATGACGACGCTTGCAAATTGCCCCAGGTGCCATCGTTTCTTTCCTGGGAGCCGTGCTGAAGGCGCGCAACAATCAATGCCTTCAGCAGGAATGGTTTGTTTGGCTGGTGCCGTGACGAGGATGTAGGATTTGTGTGCGTGAGTGGCAACACGGCTAACATTTCGGAAACCCTAAAACCGTCTATAAGGGCATGTATGTCGATCCTTTCGGATGTATGCTGGGTTGCGTGCTGAGCGTCTTTGACCCCCAACTCCGCTGCGTGCCGAGTTTCGTGCCAACCTGAAATTGCAAGCCTGATGCGTGCTATGACTTCTGCAAAGCCCATCCCTGTTCCTGAAGACCCTGTGAGGCCTGCAAGAGGGCGAAGGATCCGACTGCTTGTCGAGTTGCGTGAGTTCTAGGTGTCTGAAATCCCGTTGTCCCTGAATCCTAAACCCAATCCTGAATCCTAAACCCAAAGGGGGCTACTGCATTTAAAAAAACCCTATGCTAAGCCCTACTGTAGCTTTTTTTTGCGGGACCGGGATCTGGCATGGAGTTTTTTTCATTTTCATGTCATGAAAACTCACGTAAACCTCAACCATCATGACGGGTGCAAGGATTCTGTTTGTCATCTCAGCTCCCCTCCCGCCCTTCCGAAGCCTAGACCCTAAAAGCCCCAAACCCTAAACCCTCAACCCTAAACCCTCAACCCTCAACTCTAAACCTTAGAACCCTAAGCCCTAAACCCTTAACCCTAAACCCTAAGCCCTAAACCCAAAGCCCTAAACCCTAAACCCTAAACCCTAAACCCTAAACCCTAAGCCTTTGCTGCAGTCACCTGCCTTTGGCCGCCCGGGCCCGCCGTCCCTGCTGGTGCTCCCGGGGCTGCCAGGCCAAGAGTCTTGTTCATTAAAATAACTTATATTGTAGTTTTCTATTCTAATATCATTTATATTGTAGTTTTCTATTCTAATAAGATTTTTATTGTAGTTTTCTATTCTAATGAAATTTATGTTGTAGTTTTCTATTCTATCATTTATATTGTAGTTCTTTTTTCTAATATCAATTATATTGTAGTTTTCTATTCGAATATCATTTATATTGTAGTTTTCCTATTCTAACATGATTTATATTGTAGTTCTCAATTCTAATATGATTTATATGGTAGTTCTCTATTCGAATAGAGTTTATATTGTAGTTTTCTATTCGAATATCATTCATACTGTAGTTGTCTATTCTAATATCATGTATACTGTAGTTTTCTAATATCATTTATCTTGTAGTTTTCTATTCGGATATGCTTTATACTGTAGTTTTCTATTCTAATATAATTTATATTGTAGTTTTCTATTCGAATATCATTTATATTG